AACGGGAGACTGTCCAAGGCCAGTCGGTGCCCTTCCACGAGAGGGCACTGTCATTGTGAAACTGAAGGGTGACAGACCCCATGGTTGCCAGGTGTTGTCCGGGGAGGCCACTGGGGTCCTGTACAGGGCTAGGGAAGAGGGTGAGGGCGCGGCCCTGCCACTTCCTGGCTGTGTGACTTCAATTTTCTAAATTGCATGTCCTCATGATCTAGCGATGATCATGGTCCTCGCCTGGCTTCCCTCAGAGGCTGTGGTGAACAAGGATGACATGAGCTGAGGCAGCGAAATCGCTAAGCGAGCTGTGCAGTGCTTTGTGGTTTCCCGAGGAGCCCAGGAGGCCCAGACCAGTTCCCCTGCTTGGACAGAAGTGACCTTCAACGTTTGCTGTGTTTGAGGCAAGCTACATTACGATTCATCCAGGCCTTAAACCAAAGGGCTTCTAGCCATGTGCGAGGATGGGTAACAAAACCCACAATACCTGTTTCTACTGCCACATCTGTACAGCAATGAGCAGCTTACAGAGGCAGGACCTCCCAGGTCTATTTTTTTCTGTTTTGGTGACTAGGAATCAAGGCTCAGAAAGGTGACTGATATCACTTGTTTGACTGCGCCTTCTAGTGAACCAGGCACGAGGGTTTGGTGATGCCCTGATGTGTGTGTGGCTCTTGTCAGAAGACATCTGGGGTAGGCTTCTGCATTTGAAAATGCTGAGAACATTGGTAGCTGCTCCAACAAAGAGAGCTCAGTGTGTGCTCCAAAGATCTATGAAAATAAGGACAGAGGAAGCAAGAGATGACAGGACGGGGGCCTGGATTCTGAGCTGCCCAGTGTGATTTAGTGAGACAAATGCAGCTGACATTTCTAGGTCTGTAGGCCAGGACTGAGGCTTCTGAAGTAATCTGGATCCAGCAGTTGGGATCTTTAGCAGCAGCAGCTAAAGATAACAGCAGCAGTAACAACAGTGTGAGGCCAGTGGATCCTGTCCCAGCCATTAGCAAAACAGCCACCTCCTACTGCAGGACATCCACCGGACCACCTGTGTGCAGGTAGCTGTGAGTTTGAGGAGGAGGAGGTGGCAGTGAGGAAAAGTTTGGGATGAGCTGAGGCCAGCCCTGAGTCAGAAACAACCCGCTGTCTGAGGCTCTTCTGCCACGTCTAAAAGCGACCATCTGTGTCTGTGCTGTGTCTATAAAATCCTCATTCAGTTCTTGAATAGAAAGATGTTCCAAGCAGCTCGTCAAAGACTCTCTGACATTGTTCGGTTCTTAAAAGTGAGCACCCCCGTGCTCAGGGCTATTTGCATGCAAGAGACAGCCATGAGGTCATCATGGAAATGATCATTTTATTTTAAAAAAGAAGGGGGTGGCTGGGGAGAGAGTTATCTAAGAAGGGCTTCAAGCGTCGGAGATGTTTTTCCCCCTGTCATGTACTGGGATGGCCGCTGCCTGTAGTGAGTGAATCCTGGAGTTCTGTAGAAGGACATTTAGGTGCTCTGGTAAAGCTAGCTCTCACTCTGGGGTGACAAGTGGCCCTGAAATCTGACTTGACGGGTAATCAGCCCTAGTTCTCCTCACAGTTAACTACGGAGGTGGCATCTTAAGAAACATCTGAGTTCTAGAACATGCAGCCATGGGCTTCCTTGTCACTGCTTTTTAAAATTGTTATTATTAATGTAATCAGTTATTTTGGCTACCTAGTTGCCTAGCCTACTTTGGACTTCTGTATTTGTTGGGTAGCCACATTGCTTGCTCGATAGCCATAGAACAGTTTAGAAAAATATGTGGCCACCAGATAAAGAGACAGGAAGTGCTTCAGAGCTACTCAAGGAAATGGAGATCCTGAGACAAGATGGGCCTCTACTTAAAGAAAACCAAGATGTCAGCAGCCATGTACCATAAATCCATTACTTAGAGTGGCTGGGCCCTGGAGAAGGGTACAGGAACATCCATTAATTTGATATGTGACCTCCTAGGACATGCTACTTCATTTTTGTTAGCAGCTGAAGTAGCTCTAGCTTTCTCACGCGCATATACACACACACATACACACTGTGTACATGAACGTGCCTGAAGAGGACTTGTATTAACCTTATGACACATGTGTACACACACACACACACACACACACACACACACACACACAATGAGGAAAAGTCTAGATCTGCCTTCCAGCCAGCTCTTCAGTTGCTGTCGGGGGCAAAGCACCCTGTCCCCCAGGCACGTTAGCTAATAAGCTGAGGAGAGGGACGGGGAGGGGGGGTTGTGTCAAGGCTTTGGAGAGGCACAGCTTCTCTGTTAGCCTCAGGCTCTGATCATGGGCATCGCGGCTACCCAGGCCTTGTGAAACCAGGCTAAGACAGAAGATCCCGTTTAGGGGTCCTGTGCTGAGTACAGACCCGTCCAGACAGGCTGAGACACCTAAAGCGAGCAACAGCCTCTGTTCTCCCGGACTGCTCGGTTGATTGGTTGGTTTTTGTTTTTGTTTTGTTTTGCTGGAGGGTCTGGTGTGGAAGACTGTACCGAGGGCCTCACATTTGCCTGGTAGGCCCTCTATGCCTGAGCTGTGCCCTCAGCTCTCCTGTGGCAGTTTAAAAGATGGAGTGAGGCCTGGAGAGATGGCCTTCTGTAAAGACATGCCATGCAGGTTTGAGTACCAGAGGTCAATCCCTAGAATACACATAAACAAACCCCAAGGAGCGATGTCATTTCCTTATACTGTCAGTGCTGGGGAGGTGGGAGGGGGGAGACCATCTCCAGGGTACACCGGCCAGTCGGTCTAGCCTGTCTGTGAGGCCCACATCCCAGTGACAGACCCTGTCTCAACCCTGTCTCAAGATAAGATGATGCTTAATAAGGAATGACACCTGAGGCTGTCCGCTAGCGTACACACACACACACACACACACACACACACACACACACACTCACACACACAGGCACTCCTGCATACATGAACACACATGTACAGTGGAACGAGGTTGAACTTTCATAGTCCTTTTATTTCTGTCTTTCTCTCTGCTTTACTGCCTTCCTCACCGAACCCCCAGATGCAATCTCAGGGGACGGTGGGATAACTTCTGGCTTGCAAAAGCATGTGTCGGATTCCAGTTGCTGCTTGTCCTGGGCTTGCTGGTGCAGTGGTCCAAGGGAATCTCAACGCTGCGCCACGACATAGTACTTTTCTGTGGGTCCTAACTTAGAGAGGTTCGCACTGGAAACTGAGGCTGAGGTGGCCTTCAGAACACATGTACACTGCGAGAGGCGCAGCCTCCTAGGAAGTGTAACTAACTGGTGGGAAGTGACGATGCCGTCTGCCCAGGATCATAGAAGTCCCAGGTTAGGCGGGTGGCACGGCAAAGATGGTGGCTTGTCAGGTCTAGTCCCACAGCCTCGTCTGCTGTGGGGTACGGTAACAGCGTTTATGTTCGGCTTTGCCAGGGAGTTTGAAGCTACTGACTTAGTGTCAGCATTAATATCTTTTTGATACAGGCGAGTTTAAACAGGGGAGAGGGGCTGTTCAAGACTGAGGTTGTCAAACCCTGCGCCAGGTCTGGAATAAGAGGCCTGTTCTTCTGAGATGCTGCATGTAATGATGGCAGACAGGCCTGTCTTGCTCCTCTAAAGCATTAGGAAGGTTCTGGCAGGCAGAGTGTGGCCTCACGTCGAGGTCAATGGCTCCAGACAAGAGGTTCAGCCTCCATCTTGCAACTGCTCTGATGACTGACAAATATGTGGTGTTTTGGCTCAGGGCCACTAATGTCCACTGCCATTTGTTACTCATGTCACCCAAGCCAGTTGTAGCAAATCAACACACGTGGCTGTTCATCCTGACTGCTGTCACGTTCGGAGACTGCCTTTCATTCCTTTGTCTTCTGGCAGAAGCCCTCAAACTACCCTTTCAGGCTAGAGTCCCCCCCTTCCCCCGTCCTGCTTGAGAGTTGTGGAGCTGATTTCCACACTCTGTGTGTGTGTGTGTGTGTGTGTGTGTGTGTGTGTGTTTGGCTGTAGGTGAGGGCGGCTGTCCAGAGTAGCAGGCTTTTGCACTGTGTTAGTCTTGCTTCATCTTTTTGGGGTTTCTATTGGACAGGATTTTCGGCACAGATACTGGACCGTGAAAGAGGAATTTCCTGTGGCTAAAATCTCCCATGTAGGCAAAGTATCATAGCGCAGGCTGGATGTCTGTTTCTGGCATTGCTGGGAACCGAACTTGCGTCCTCATACATGCTAGGCAGACATTACACCACATAGCTCATTCCACGTTCCACCTCATAGCTCTGTTAAATTCTTTTTTTTTTAAGTTTGCCGAGCAATGGAGTCGGTAGTTCCAATATGGTGGAGTGACTTTTTTTTTTTTTTTTTTAAATCCCAGAGGAGACATTTGATGAGGTGTCTGCTTTTCTGTCTGCCCCACTGGAAGGTGGGAATATTGGCATCTGCTATGCTGAGGCCCCACACCCCCTTCTCACCCCAGCAATGAATTACAAGGGTGGGGTGTAACACAGGTCAACAGTGACTGAGTTATACCCTGGTCTAGATGGCGTGGGGTGAGGTTTGGGGTTTATACCCTGGTTTTCTCTTACATAATGTAGCCATTGTCGCTCTCCCTTCTGGTCCCCAAAATGATGAAATAGGGACAGTTTTAGGGAAGCAACGCTGGGCCTATTAAATGCAAGCTACTCCAGGGGGACCTGAGGCCTGCTAGTAGATCTTGGTGTCTTCTGCCATTTGGGTGGATTCTGTGAGGCCTGTTCACTCTTCAGCTGTGAAAGCGACTCCCTGGAGTCCTGGAGCCTCCCCATAGATCCTGTTGTCCCCTGCCATCCGGGTGGTTTGGGTGAGGCCTGTCTGTCCCCTTGACTGCCCAAGTGACTCCAAGGATTCCCTGCGCCTCTTACGGATTTTGTTGTCCGGGTGGAGGCCGTGAGGCCTGCCCACCTCTGCGGCCGCCCTAGCTTCCCCGAAATCGCTCACGCTCCCCCTTTCTTCTTCGTGTTTCCCCAGGTAAAGATGAGCCTTCCAGCTACATTTGCACAACATGCAAGCAGCCCTTCAACAGCGCCTGGTTCCTGCTGCAGCACGCGCAGAACACGCACGGCTTCCGCATCTACCTGGAGCCCGGGCCAGCCAGCACCTCGCTCACGCCCAGGCTCACCATCCCGCCGCCGCTCGGGCCGGAGGCCGTGGCACAGTCCCCACTCATGAATTTCCTGGGGGACAGCAATCCATTCAACCTGCTGCGTATGACGGGCCCCATCCTGCGGGACCACCCAGGCTTCGGCGAGGGCCGCCTGCCGGGCACGCCACCGCTCTTCAGCCCACCTCCACGCCATCACCTGGACCCACACCGCCTCAGTGCAGAGGAGATGGGGCTGGTGGCCCAGCACCCCAGTGCCTTCGACCGAGTCATGCGCCTAAACCCCATGGCCATAGACTCTCCCGCCATGGACTTCTCACGGCGGCTGCGAGAACTGGCGGGCAACAGCTCCACGCCGCCGCCCGTGTCCCCAGGCCGTGGCAACCCTATGCACCGGCTGCTGAACCCTTTCCAGCCCAGCCCCAAGTCCCCATTCCTCAGCACGCCACCGCTGCCACCCATGCCCGCGGGCACGCCGCCGCCTCAGCCGCCTGCCAAGAGCAAGTCCTGTGAGTTCTGTGGCAAAACCTTCAAATTCCAGAGCAATCTCATCGTGCACCGGCGCAGCCACACGGGCGAGAAGCCCTACAAGTGCCAGCTGTGCGACCACGCGTGCTCGCAGGCGAGCAAGCTCAAGCGCCACATGAAGACGCACATGCACAAGGCGGGCTCGCTGGCCGGCCGCTCCGACGACGGGCTGTCGGCTGCCAGCTCCCCCGAGCCGGGGACCAGCGAGCTGCCTGGCGACCTCAAAGCGGCCGACGGCGACTTCCGCCACCACGAGAGCGACCCATCGCTGGGCCCGGAGCCCGAGGACGACGAGGACGAGGAGGAGGAGGAGGAGGAGCTGCTGCTGGAGAACGAGAGCCGGCCTGAGTCGAGCTTCAGCATGGACTCGGAGCTGGGCCGAGGCCGTGAGAACGGGGGCGGTGTGCCACCGGGCGTGGCGGGCGCCGGGGCCACAGCCGCGGCGCTGGCGGACGAGAAGGCACTGGCTCTGGGCAAGGTGATGGAGGATGCGGGGCTGGGCGCGCTGCCGCAGTACGGGGAGAAGCGAGGCGCCTTCCTCAAGCGTGCGGGCGACGCCGGGGACGCGGGAGCCGGCGGCTGCGGGGACGCGGGTGCCCCGGGCGCGGTGAACGGGCGCGGCGGGGCCTTCGCCCCGGGCGCAGAGCCCTTCCCCGCCCTCTTCCCACGGAAGCCCGCGCCGCTGCCCAGCCCGGGGCTCGGCGGGCCCGCGCTGCACGCGGCCAAGCGCATCAAGGTGGAGAAGGACCTGGAGCTGCCCCCCGCCGCCCTCATCCCCTCCGAGAACGTGTACTCGCAGTGGCTCGTGGGCTACGCGGCGTCGCGCCACTTCATGAAGGACCCTTTCCTGGGCTTCACGGACGCGCGCCAGTCCCCTTTCGCCACGTCGTCGGAGCACTCGTCGGAGAACGGCAGCCTGCGCTTCTCCACGCCGCCCGGGGACCTGCTGGACGGAGGGCTGTCGGGGCGCAGCGGCACGGCCAGCGGGGGCAGCACGCCCCACCTGGGGGGCCCGGGGCCCGGGCGGCCCAGCTCCAAGGAGGGCCGCCGCAGCGACACGTGCGAGTACTGCGGCAAGGTCTTCAAGAACTGCAGCAACCTGACGGTGCACCGCAGGAGCCACACCGGAGAGCGGCCTTACAAGTGCGAGCTGTGCAACTACGCGTGCGCGCAGAGCAGCAAGCTCACCCGCCACATGAAGACGCACGGGCAGATCGGCAAGGAGGTGTACCGCTGCGACATCTGCCAGATGCCCTTCAGCGTCTACAGCACCCTGGAGAAACACATGAAAAAGTGGCACGGGGAACATTTGCTGACTAATGACGTCAAAATCGAGCAGGCCGAGAGGAGCTAAGTGCGTGCGTGCGTGCGTGCGTGGGGGGGGGATACTGTGTGCGACTGTACAGCGTGACCATCGCCAACCATCGCCAATGGGACCTGGTGACCGGACTGGCCTCTCTGTCTCCGGGGCCCAGGGAGGCGGCAGTCCAACCTAACCTGTGTCTGCGAAGTCCTATGGAAACCTGAGGGTTGATTAAGGCAGTAAAAAATTAAAAAAAAGAAAAAAAGAAAAAAAGAAAAAAAAATTGTGGAGCCTTTTAACTGTGCAATAATTTCTGTATTTATTGGGTTTTGTAATTTTTTGGCATGTACGTACAGGTACTTATTATTATTATTATTATTTCTGTTTAAATTCCTTTAAAAGATTTTGTTGGGTATCCATCCCTTCGTTTTTAATAACCCGGTAGTCTGAGCAATGGCTCGCAAGTGATGTAGAGGGAAGCTAGCTTTTAAATTATAATTTTTGTGTGTGGGGGGGGTGCTGCTTTTTTGAAATTTAAGCTAAGCATGTGTAATTTCTTGTCAAGAAGCCAACACTTACATGACTTTTAAAGTTGTTTGCCTTTTCATCATTTACTTTTGTCCTGAAATAAAAAAAAAGTGGCATGTGGGGTTCTTTATTTGGGGGTGGGGTGGGGAGTGGCTTTCAAAAGCATTTTTTTTTTTCTTCCGGGAGGTGGATGTACAGCGGATTACAATCTTTAAAGTTGTAGCACTTTGTTTTAGCACCGGATCGGAGAGGTAGTACTGATGTCCTCCTTGGCCGCAGAGACCTTCTCTGTGTGGAATTCAGCTTTCATACTATGGAAGGAAAATTTGGAGGGGGGTGTGGCAGGCGAGCCTCTCCCCGACTCGGGAGAAACTTTTCCAGGGTGACTCCAGGAACAGGCCCGAGAGTCCTGCGATCCAGCGTTACTGGGAGATGCTGTCCTTTTCTGGGGAGCTTGGTGTATCCTGGGAAACCGCCTCTGCCCTTTGCTGTAGATTTGGCTGCATGAAATGGCTGAGGGTATCTACTGGGTAGACAGCAGTGGCCTGCAGTGGCAGGAAGGAAGAGACTCAAAATGTTCTTGCAGGCTTCTCCTGGCATGATGGCTTCTCTCTTTTCAGCCCCCAGCCTACAGATAAGTCCCAGGTAGCCACTGCTACGGTGGTGATTGCCCGTGTCCGGAGTAGACAACCGGCCCTGTTGGTGGGACTAGGGAAGTTAGTGCTAACAGCGCCGCAGGGCAGGGAATCTTGTCTGTTCTCTCTTCCAGGAGGAGTGGGGAAGAGTTCCGCCCAACGTGCCCCACGCTGCTTCCATTTTTGTCTTTTGTTTTTTTTTCCTTCCTCCAATTAGTTGGGACATGCTATACATTGGACTTGTTGGGATTTGATGTTTGAATTCTGTTGACCCGCACTTTAAAGCTTTTGTTTGCATTTAAATTAAATGGCTTCTAAACAAGAAATTGCAGCATATTCTTATCTTTGGCCCAGAGGTGGGTTAAACTGTAAGGGACAGCTGAGATTGAGTGTCAGTATTGCTAAGCGTGGCATTCACAATACTGGCACTATAAAGAACAAAATTAAATAATTTATTGGACAGTTTCTCTACTGCCATTCAATTTGATGTGCGTGCCTTGAAAACTGATCTTCCTATTTGAGTCTCTTGAGACAAATGCAAAACTCTTTTTTTTTTTTTTGAGATGAAAAGACTTTTTAAAAAGCAAACAAGAAAAGTACATTCTTTTAGAAACAAAGCCACATTTACTTTAAATTTTAAAAAAAATCCTGGTTGAAGATAGAGGACTTGAAAATGCCATAAGACCCAATCAAATGAAGAAATAAACCCAGCACAGCCCTGGACATCCATTAGCAGAATTGTTTTCGGCCCCCCTTTTTTTGGGACAGCGCTGCTTAGCTGTGGAGTGGAGGTGATTTACTGCTGAATTAAAACTCAAGTGACACAAGCCGATATCGTTGAATGAAAAAACAAACAACAAAACAATTCAGGAACAATGGCTAATTTTTTTTTCTAAATTAAAATTTAGTGCACTCTGTCTTAAAAATACGTTTACAGTATTGGATACATACAAGGGTAAAATAAATCGTGTGTATGTGTGTTGGAGCGATCTTTTTATTTTATTTTCAAAGTTTGCATAATAGGTTATACAGAAATGCCACAATGGCTACGTGTATATTGTTTTCTTTTGGTGACGGGGTTTTAGTAATACATTATATATATATTGAAATTTCTTGATTACTGTCAAAGTGGACCAGTATTTGTAATAATTGAGAATGCCTGGGCATTTTACAAAATGAGAAAGAAAAAAAAAAGTCCTTTTTCTTTTCCTTGAAACCGTTACAGTAAGTTTTAAATGGTGGGTCTATAAAATCTGTTCTGTCACAGTAACTGTACAGTTGGAGTTTTAGTAAATTTTTTTCTGCCTTGGGTGTTGAATTTTTATTTCGAAAACAAAATGTATAGAAACTTGTATTTGGGGACTAAAGGGGGATTGCTACAATGTGTAGAAAAAGTATGTAGAAAAAAGTGCTTAATATTGTTACTGCTTTGCAGAAGAAAAAAAAATCACATTTCTGACCTGTACTTATTTTTCTCCCCCCACCTCCCTCTGGAATGGATATATTGGTCGGTTCATATGATGTAGGCTCTCGCTGTATTTTTACTGGAGCTTGTAATTTTTTAACTGTAAGCTTGTCCTTTTAAAGGGATTTAATGTACCTTTTTGTTAGTGAATTTGGAAATAAAAAGAAAAAAAAAACAAAAACAAACAGGCTGCCATAATATATTTTTTTAATTTGGCAGGATAAAATATTGCAAAAAAAACAAAACAAAACAAAAAACCCCACCCACATTTGTATGTTAAGTCTTCTTGTACAGGAGAAAAAAAAAAAAAAAAAAGGTTGTTTGACAACCTTCAAGAAAAAAAGGAAAATAGTCAAATGCTTTGGTTCACAAGTCATTTTAGTTGTATATATTCTGTCAGAATTGGCCTACTCAAAGAACTGTTGACTTTGGGCTTTGATTTGAATGCCCGAACTTTGCATCAGGCCTCCTTGGCATGGGGATAGCAGACGCGATGGGAAGTGCTTTTTTCTTGTCGAGGGGAGAAAAGAGAGCCTTTCCTCCAAGAGGCCATCCATAAGATGGTGGTGGAGGCGAGAGTGCAAGGTTACCTTCTCCACTATGGCTACTGTGGCTGCCCCCACAACCCCCTGACCACCCTCAGGAGCAGAGAGAATCGACTTTTGTCCTTGAGCAAACCTGGACGGAGCAAAGCTTCTGGAAGGAGCAGCTGGGCCCAGGGGAGCCTCTGCCACTGAGACTGGTGCAGGTGGGACTGAGGAGAGCCTGAACACGGGTCTTTCTGTTCCATGGGGAGTGTCCGCTCACTTTCCCTCTATGCTTTGCTGCTTTCTTCGCAAATCCATTGGTTTCAGAATGGCGCGGGCCTGGGATGAAGGAATTCTGTGCCTTTCCATCTGTGTTTCTGCCCTACCCTCTTCCAGTCTCTGCCTATCCTGTATCTGTTCATTCCATCTTTAATTTTCTTTCTCCTCTTTGTCCTTTCTCCCTTAGAATCGCCTCCCTCCCCCCTTTTAAAGCCAATTAGCTTTAAGAAAATAAAGTGGTTGTTTATTGGATGAGGGAATAATACACTTTTCACAAATACCTTTATCAGGAAGCCATTTTTTTTTTTTTTAATTTTCAGGAAATGTAAGAAACCATCCTTTCAGGTTATGAAAGCATGATCATGCATCTTTCCGGGCAGGTCCTTCCTAAGTGCAGATCCTGTCTCACTGTCTCCCATTTGACACTTTGCACAGTTAAAGGACGGGGCCTAGGGGGAGGTCACTCCTAGGTCTCAGTGTCCCACATGCCTGCCCTTCTGCTACCCCGTCCCTCCGCTGCCCTGATAGCTGCCTGGGAACCTCCATGTGGTTCTCCTGTGCTCATAAAAGCTAGCCAGCGCTCACCAGCTCACCTGTCACCAGAATGCCAGGACTAAGCCATCCTAAAGCACAAGGACCGTGTGCCTCTGTCAGCTGCAGAGAGGAGAGAATTTCGCTTCTCTTATCAGAGTGAAAAAGCAACCAACCAACAACCTACCCGAAGCAGGCGACCCAGCCAAAGGGCTCTAGCGTGGGTGACCCAGCCGACCTCAGGTCGGGTTCCACACTGCCACAACTTTACCCAAAGTTGCCCCCCCCCCATTGGAACCTGCCACTTGCCATTGGAGGGGCATCACGGGAGGGGGAGAGGAGAGAGATTACTCTAAGCAAAATGTGAACCCTGAGGTGAACAGCCTTCCACCTGGCCCTTCCGTCCCAGATTTTGTTGAATGCAGGCGAATCTGTGATTTTGGTGCTCTCTGTCTGCCCTGCACAGCAAAGGCGCATTGATTTCAGCTGTTTGCTTTTGTACTGGCGAGGCGAAATATTTTTATTACCTTTTCTATTACTTATCGTATGAGCTTTTGTTGTTTGCCTAGAGGGTTCGTCTCTTACAACAAGTTTGGAGCTATTTATTATTGCTTGGTATTTGTGCTCTGTTTAACAACAGGCACTTGTTTTTTTTAATTATGGATAAAATGTTGAGATGACAGGAGGTCATTTCAATATGGCTTAGTAAAATATTTATTGTTCCTTTTCTTCTCTGTACAAGATTTTGGGCCTCTTTTTTTTCCCCCTTAATGTCACAATGTTGAGTTCAGCATGTGTCTGCCATTTCATTTGTACGCTTGTTCAAAACCAAGTTTGTTCTGGTTTCAAGTTATGAAAATAAATTGGGACATTTAACTTGATCTCCAAACCTTGTCCTTTTCTGTGTCTTTTAAAGGTGGGGAATGGACAGCTTATTTCTAAGAGGGGATTGAAGTTCTTTTTCCTTTCTGACTTGAACCTTAAGCCTATGGCCAGGAGGAGAGAAAATACTTCCGGGAAGCAGTGACATTTGGAAAGGTTCTTGATCCTGGCTATACACTGTGTGCGCACATAGTGAGACTTCGTCTCAAAAACAATAAAATAAGAACAGAAAGAAAAAAAAATGGCTATAAAAGTAGTTTAAGCGAGCCCAAAATAATTTTGATCTCGATGGACATGGGATTATGACATGGCTGCCATGATCCTGATTCAGCCACAGTCAAGCTCTTTGCAGTGGGTTTAGGTTTGCTTCCAAATCCTGAGTTCAGTTCAATTCTCGATTGAGCCATGTAAAACGGCTCATTTTTGTTTTACCTGAAAAAAAAAATGTATATATACACACACATACATATAAGAGCTTTGCTCAACATTCTGAAGCAGCAGCCGGGTCTCAAGTTTGAGGCCAACCTGGCTTCAATAATGGTTTCTAGGCCAGCTTGGAGTATATAGCAAGATCATGTATGAGAGAGAAATAAAGAGAAAGAGGGGAGGAGAAGGAGAGAGGAAAGATGGGAAGGAAGGAAAGAGGGAAAGAAGGAAGGAGGGGAGGAAGGAAAGAAAGACAGGGAGGAAGGAGGAAGATAAGGCAGGCAGTCATGAGCACTCAGAACTGGAAACCCGGGTACAGGGGGTCCCTGCAAGCTGCTCTTGGCTTTCCAGGTGCATTTCCTGCTGGTCTCAGGAGGACTCT